TGGATGGAAGTTTACCTGGGTATCATTTACATCGTGGATTTGGTGCGGGTGCCAACAGTTGGCTTGTTCATTTGGAGGTCTGTGACATGAATCACATAACTGCACAAGTTGTATCGGCTTTTGACGTGCATTTGTTTTTGTTTTGACCGAGACAAATATATCATACCAAAAAAGTGGAATAAAATCTCACTCTTTTATCTCTCGTGTAAAAAACACTAATGTTGTTAAAGATGAGGGGGGCATTGCATCTTTTGCATATAGCCACAAACGAGTCCCTGTCCTAAACTTTTTCCATCCTTTTGTATTAAGAATACTAAAACTCACTCTTTATGTCCTCCCAATACCTAAAATTAGCAAAGCCTGATATATTTATATATATATATATATATATATATATATATATATATATATATATATATATTTATTTATTATTCAGGGTGGGGGATGGTGTAACAGTTTAAGAACTTGTATTTACCGTAAAACAACAAGGCGTGGATCATCGAAATATTTTGAAAAAAGCTTGGCTTTTACAGGAATCCTGAGCAACAGGGCTGAAGAAAATCCAGGTTTCCTTGCAAACAATTATGAATGATCATAGTCATACAACAACATTTATTTCTTCTAACCACAATTTAATTCTTGGGCAGATTTTTTTAACTGGAACCGAGTTAAGGTTCGTTATTGTGATGGGGCTTCTTTTACCGGGGATTCCGAAGATCGGGTGTGTACACAAGATATTCATTTGAAATCTTTTATTAAAGATTAATAGATAGATATAAATATATGAACATATATTGTCTTTCTAGGCTCATGGTCTGCAATTCAGAGGGCAAAAGATTTGGTTGGCTGCAATGGAAGAGTTGATGTCAAAAGGAATGCGGTATGCTAACCAGGTATAGGCATTGTTTAGCTATTTGCTATTTGGTATTTGGTATTTGTTTATTTCAAGAAAAAGAAAAATTACGAATATTTTATGTTGGAATGTTCCAGGCTCTTCTTTCGGGGTGCTCGGCTGGTGGTCTGGCTTCTATTTTACACTGTGATGAGTTCCGAGGTTTATTCCGAAGAAGAACTAGAGTCAAGTGTTTTGCTGATGCTGGAATGTTCATGGATGCGTAATTCCCTTTCTTTCTTAATTCTTAATTCTTATTCTTATACTTATACAACAACACAGTTTTATGAATTATTTTATGTTTTAAAAATAAAATATAGGCGTGATGTATCGGGCGGACACACAATTAGAAACATGTATCAAGGTGTTGTTAGCTTGCAGGTAGTGTTGAATGATATGATAATGCCTAATGCTATATTAGATTCTGATTTTATAGCTATAAATAATTTCAACAGGGTTCAGCTAAAAACTTGCCCAGAACTTGCACAAACCACCTTGATCCGACTTCTGTAAGCCTTCTTAAAATTGATGATATCTGTGTTTTTTCTTCTCTAGATACTGATAGTCTGATACTTTGTTTTCAGTGCTTTTTCCCTCAAAACATAGTTTCCAATCTTAGAACCCCTATGTTCCTCCTCAATGCAGCCTATGATTCTTGGCAGGTACATGCCTAAATTGCTATTTATTGCTGACTGCAACAAATACCAACATACTTTCATTTACTTGTGTATTCTATTCTATCATCTATTCCTATTATGCCATCTTACATTCTTTCTTTTTTTCTTATTGAAGGCAGTTTGTACTTTAAAATCTACCTAATTATATATTTATACCAGAGTTTTTTGAATATATATATATATATATATATATATATATATATATATATATATATATATATATATATTTCTTATTAGGACATTATACTTTAAAAAATGTATCCGATTTATAACAGTGAAATTTGCTTTGTATTGGGATGACATTGCTATATTTGGATAGATTTTTTAAAGTACATTGCTACTCCATATGATTTAATACTGTTTTGTGACTGTGTCAGATCATTGCTAGTTTAGCTCCTCCATCAGCTGATCACCGGGGTGTTTGGAAGGCATGTCAAAAGAACCCTGCAAATTGTTCACCCTCGCAGATTAATTTCCTTCAAGGTATTTAGAAATAAAATGTGATGATTCCTTTTAATTATATTTATTGGAATTGGAATTGGAATTAAATAAATAATACACCTTTACCTTTATATTGATTGTATCAGTATTCAGAAAGCACATGCTCAATTCACTCAATCGCTTCTCAATGTCCAAACAAAACGGATTGTTCATAAATTCGTGTTTTGCTCATTGTCAATCCGAGAGGCAGGATACATGGTTTGCGGATAATTCTCCTCTCATTGGGAACAAGGTACTTCTAATTACCAAATACCAAATGCCAAATGCTGATTTCTTTCATCAGATTTTAGGCTTCGCTTAGATTACTAATACTAATATGGAAGAGGCAAAGTTCTATTATATTACTTTTATTAATGTATAAATGGACATGTCAAGTTTGATTAATAGATCAACTTTTAAGTCCAATCGTCAAGTTTTTAATACATATAATATAAATGTGTTAAACATTTCTGAATGTATCATCATACTATCTAAGGTTATGTTTGGCATACTAACTAAAAAACTAACTGTTAAATAAAGAAGCTAACGGGTAGCGAAAAGGCTAGCTGATAAAAAATAACGTTTGGTAAAACTAGCTGAAAAATATAAAATGACATAAAAGGACATTTAAAAAATGTGTTTCTATAATTAATTAATGGGTATATTTGGAAAATTTAAAAAAAGCTCCTAAAAAGCTAGTCTAAGTAGTTTTTAAAAAAACTACCTTATAAACTACTTTTTGGTTTTCCAAATATGACAATTTAAAAAGCTCGAAAAATAAGCCAGCTATGGCGTGCCAAACGTAGCCTAAATGATTTTAGGTGTTTTTGACAACATGATTTTGAGAGCTTTCAGAGTTTTTAGCTTTAAGTTAAAAAAATGTGGATTTAATCATTTGAGATCACAAACTTTTATTTTATAGCAAAAAACTTCTAATCTCAAGTATTTTGAGATCACAAACTTTTATTTTATAGCAAAAAACTTCTAATCTCAAGTATTTTTTTCAAAGCTTTTAGGTTTTAATTTTGAGCTTGTATTTAAATTTTTTTTTATGTAATTTTACACATTTCAAATGTTTGTAGCTACTACGGCCAGCCTGACACTTTTGTACAAACTACCAAAAAAAAAAGTAAAAAACTGCAACTTCAGTATAAAAAAAAATGTTCCGTAGAAATAATTTAAATTAAAATGAACCGCATTGGCAATCCCAAGTCGTTCTTTTTCTGATGGTTTTGGGCCTTAAGGTCCGGTCTTTGTTAGGACAGTCCTTTTTTCGGGCCGGTTGAGTCTTCATCTTCAAACATGTCTTTTTGTTTATATCATGCTGGGCCCAAAACCAATTAAAAACCCAAGCCCAAAGCTATTAGTCCAATAATCTTTTGAACTGATGTTTTTTATACAGGCAATTGCATTGGCTGTTGGAGACTGGTTTTTTGATCGTTCAAGCGTCAAACGAATTGACTGCCCATATCCATGTGACAAAACATGTCACAACCTCGTATTTAGATCATAATCTCCTCAACCATGCCATATTACTTACTATTAGTAGCCCAATTGCCTCATTTTTATTATATTGCCATGGACATGGATGTTTTTATTACTTAATTTTTATTTTCCTCATTCATTATTGAAACGAGAATAATTTGCTAAGCTTGTAACTCAGTTCCTAGCAAAACAGATGGGACTGGGAAATATTATAGAAAAATACAACTAGTTTTACATTATTCGTTGCCATCATAATTGATTCATTTGTAAAAAGTTTGGGGAAGCTATAAAAATGAAAAGTAAAAAATGTTTTATTATTGTAAAGACAAAACTGCAAATTTGATCGTTGTGGTTTGCAAAAATCTTTAGATGATATTCAAAAAGTTTCCAACTTGCACAGAAGATCAAAAATCAAGGTTTTTTTGGATTTTTAGTCCAAAAAAAATTGAAAAGACGGTTATATCCTTATTTCTTTACTTTTACATTTTATTAACATTTCAATAATAATAATAATAATAATAATAATAATAAGAAAATATGTAAAAATTTATCTCTCACGTCTCTTTCTCCCTCCTTCCCTCCACTAATACTTCTCTCTCTCTCTCTCTCTCTCTCTCACACACACACACACACAATGTATTTTCATCAGAGATTAAAGACCCATCGAATAATTCCCCTTCTCTGTTCTTCGTGCCACTAAGTTGTGCTTCTCCGACTATTACTAGGGGTTCATCTCTGGATTCAAGACCCATTGACGAGTTCTCCAACTCCGACGATAGCTCTAGACATGTATCGGTGGTGGAAGCTCCGACATGTAGCAGTGGTGGGATCACAAATAGAAGGATGAAAACATGGAGCAATGGTGGCATCACTATTAAACCCTCTTTTCAATGATGTATTCTTCAAAATCTCGATACACTTGAGTCGATTCAAACCTCAACTTCTATGCAAACCATCTTATTGCAGTGAAATTATGGAACCCCCAAATGGAATATGGTTTAGACTGAACACAATCACAATAAATCGAGAAAAAATTGAAAACAAAGGTGGTCGGTTTTCCGGCGCGATCCATCGACAACGAAACCTCATCGGGGTTGTTGTCTTCGATCCATCAACAATAGTTGACATGGGAAGCATTTGGGTGATTCTTCTTCAATAGGAGGGGTTGCAGTCGACATCTCCGGCAGGCCCGTCGTGGCTTCCTTTCTCATCGTCGGTAGTGAAGGAGTCAGGGGTATTTGGGTGGTGTTCCTCGACCAATCATCATGGAGGAAGGGGGTAGCTCCGATGCTCCACTCGACTGATTCCCTTCTCGTTGTAGGTTGTGGATTTGAGCAGTAGCAGTAACAATCAAAGGGGGGTGTTTGGCTGAGATCGGTGAGCAGATTAGGAAGAGGAAGAGTACTATCATGGTGGCGCAATGTCTCCTAGTTCCACCGGTTTCCTCCTACACCAGAGATGCATAACTGTTAAAGGAAGTTAGAGAGAGAGAGAGAGAGAGAGAGAGAGAGAGAGAGAAAGAGAGAGAGAGAGAGAGAGAGAGAGAGAACGTATGGGTGGGTGGGGGATAATATATTTCTTTTCTTTTTATTTTTATGACAAAATGGTATTAGAATAATTGTGTACATATATATAACAGTATAATCGTCTTTTCAGGTTTTTTTTTTTTTTTTTTTTTTTTTTTTTTTTTTTTTTTTTTTTTTGACTAAAAACCCAGAAAAACATTGATTTTTTTATCTTCTGTGCAAGCTGGAAACTTTTTGGACCCCATCCAAAGATTTTTGCAAACCACATGGACTAAATTTGCAGTTTTGTCTATTGTAAAATTGGCTTCAGTTATTGATACAATACAAATTTAGGCTTGGCGAACGGGTTGGATTTGGATTGGCGGGTCACGAGTTGGTGGGTCAGAAAATATAAACTCAACCCAACTTATATAATATATCGGTTTGCGGGTTCTCAAGTTAAATGGCCAAACCTAACCCATATAAATAAACAATGTATTTTCAAAGATGAAGTTTTTTTAACATAAAATCATAAAGTAATTAACATTAAAAAAAGGTTTTCAACATAAATTCATAAAGTCATTAATATCCGAATAAAATTGAAAAATAAAAACATTCATATAAAATGGATGCATTCTCTGTTCGGCAGTATAATATCCGAATATACAATGACGATATGTGTTTTTTTCTTTTTTGATTAAGGCACCGCAAACGCAGACTAACCACATATGAATACGGAAGGAAATCAGATTTAATTAATAATTAAATATATCAATTTGTTATAAATGTAATATATATATATATATATATATATATATATATATATATATATATATATATATATATATATATATATATATATATATATATATATATATATATAAAGTTCAGAACCATTAAAGGTTATAAACTATTTGAGAATCATTTTCATTAAGGGTATTTTTGTCGTAACAATAAAAAAAATTTTGTGTCACAGTATTATCCTACAAACTTTCTCATTCTCTGATATTTTAAGAAACTATCATATTCTCTCTCTCAAACATAAAACCCAACAACCTTCATCACGAGTTTTTCCAACCACCATTGCTCCATCATGAACGGTTATCAGATCTGAAACCACCACGATAATCACTAGTAAAAACCACCATAGACGTCATAACCATCGCCATCTGCAAATTTGTCTTCAACCGCTTCACACAACCTGCTCACCGCCACTCTCCTTTGCCGCTTGTCGCTCCAAATCTATTGTCGTCCACCTCCTTTCGCCGCACCAACTTTGTAATCATTCGACACACCAGATACACAACTGTAGCTTCCAGATTTGAGATATTCCTACCCCTGACATCACTCTAACTTGACCATATTTGATATTTTTTTTTGATTTCTTCATATCTGATTTCGCCACTATCATCGTCAACGATGGCCCCACCACCACCATCGTCTCCCTCTTTGATGCCTTCTACCTCTAAAGAAATCAAACACTAACCTCATTTCCTCATATAAAGATCTCTAGATATACAATCTCCGATAACAGATCTTTGATTTTCGGTAACAAATCTATAATTTCTGGCTCTAGATCTACAATTTACGTCTACAAATCTATGAGCTCCGACGACAAATATATGATTTCTACTTCTAGATTTACAATTTACACCTCCAAATCTATGACTCAAATCATTTCCATCTCCTTCTCTCTGATCTCTAGTGAAACACCACCAGATATGTGTAAGGTATGTCGAATTTTCTTTTGATTGTGTTTCCTTCTGTTAAGGTGTGAATTTAATGTTTTAATCTCTTATTTGTTGTTTATTTTTGTTAATCTTAGTATTTTACCTACAATTATGTTGTAAATTCAAGTTTTTTTTCTTATTTATTAAAGCATGAATTTAATGTTTTAAATTGTTTATGTTTTATGGTTGATATGCTATGAATTGAATTTAAAATATGTGTTATTAAGTTAATGTTTTCTCAAATTATGTGAATTTAAATCTTATTAAGCTATGAATTGTGATGTTTTAATATTTCAATTATTGTTTACTTTTGTTAATCTAGTTTTAACTATATTAATAAGGAAATACAAGCTTTAAGTCATGAATTCATGAGTATTTATAAGTTTTAAGTTATGAATTAATGTATGAACAAGTTAGTTGAGAATATGGTTGTGAATGTACACTTTATGTATATTGAAGTGTGAATTTTGTATATTAAACTGTGAAATAAATGTATTAAGATGTGAAGAGATTGTATTAAGTTGTGAACTTTGTATATTAAACTGTTAATTTGTTATATTATATCGTGAATTTTGTACATTAAACTCTAATTTGAATGTATTAAGTTGTGGACTGATTATATTAAATTATGAATTAACTATATTAAGATGTGAATTTTTAAAAAAATTTGTGTTAATTTTTTTTTATGAATTTAGTTTTTACTTTTAAAATATGATATGAAAGAAGCATTATACAGAAATATGATTTTCTCTAATTTTGAATAAAATATGAAAAATATAAATTGTGAATATCATATAAGTTAAACTTTGAAAGAAAAATGTATTATTGCAAAGTATTAGTTGAGAATATGTGTGTGAATATATAATTTTTCTGTATTAAATTGTGAATTTGTTATATTAAGTTACAAATTTTGTATACTAAATTGTGAATTGACTATATTGAGTTGTTAAATTTTTTTAATGAAATTTGTGTTAAAATATGAATGATTTATGTATGAATTCTTGCATTTTTCTTGTGAATATATTTATTTTATGTGTAGTACAAGTTTAATAATTGCTTTACATTAAACTCAAAATGAGTGAATTAATATGTTTAATAAACTTTGAATGTAGTATTTAATTTTTCAATATACAACTTTATACACATATCTGATTTGGAAGAAATGATGGTTGCAACTATAGCAAAGGTGATTGATGAAAATATATGGTGGAGGTGGTTGTGGTAGAGTTTGGTTTTAACTTCTCTAAATTTGTTAATCAATGTAAATTTGATTCTATTAAGTTGTAAAGTTTGTGTATTAAATTGTAAATGGATTGTATTAAGTTGCATTTCAAATAAATATTCTGTTAAAATACAAGTGAATGTATGAATAAAAATATTAGACTATAAAAATTACGATTTTTCCCTTTTGTTACCAAAAAGAATAACTTAGGATTTTATCTTCGTAATAACTATTCACAATACATTTTACTTATGAAATAGATTCTTAGGGTTCTTAATCTTTTGTGGTTTTTTGTAACGATGAGATATTCAAAACAAAATTTTCATTTTTCAACAACCAAATTTTAAATATAAAACATTCTCAAAAAAAGTATTCCACAATAGTTATCAAATCTCCTCTCTGTGTGTACGGTTCATGCCGACGTCTTTCCATGGTCCTCGCTAGTACCTGAAACACATAACACATCAACTGTAAGCATAAATGCTTAGTGAGTTCCCCAAAATACCACATACAACACATACGCCACTCGAGGCTACTGTACGACCCTCCGGTCGATGTGTCTCAGCGGGACCCTCCAGTCTTGTAGCTCGTTGGACCCTCTGGTCCGATCATAGCTCGTTGGGCCCTCTGGTCCGTTCTGTATCGTTGGACCCTCCGGTCCGGTCTATACCATCATATACCATACATATATCACATAGCACACAACTCATTCGTAACAAATAATCTCATACATAGCACATAATCTCTTACATAGCACATAAGACCTTCCGGTCAACTCATAATACCACTCTAGGTAACGCATAGTGAGAAGACTCACCTTGTGTAACTCGGTAACTCGGAAATCTCGAACTCCGTGAAATAGGATCTAGCCTCCGCCTAATCATACGAAATACACACTCGACATCAACACATTTCCCAAGGCTAGACCATCCCCTTTCTTAGCACTCCCAGGAGGGTAAAAGACCATTTTACCCTTCTCAAGGCTCAAATACTCTAAAGTTGACCAAACCCTAAAAGTCAACAAAAGTCAACGGTCAACCCTTTGACCAGACTCGTCGAGTGCACAATTGTGACTCGACGAGTTCAGTCATGAACTCACGTCCTCAAAATCCCCAACGACTCACTGAGTCACTTCCCCAACTCAATGAGTTACCATCTGCGTGATTTATGGGGAAAAACCATCCTACTCGCCGAGTTTGTTCTTGGACTCGGCGAGTTCAAGCCATGCTCAAACTCAAATGACCTCCTGATGTTAGATCCGTTCCTCTAACTTATAGATCTGGCCTCCTTAAGCAAAATAAACAAGTAAAGTTTGGATCTTGATGCCCATGCAAAGACCTAATGGGTCTATTTGAAGAAATGGCCCCAATATGCCATCCCAAACTCTTATCTCCCAATGACACTCATAAAGATCGAGGAGTTAAGGTCTCTGGACCACTTTGGATCCAGATCCAAAGTCTCAACACAAGAAGGGACCAATTGCACCACAATCCATACTCTAAAGGGGCTAGAAACCCTAACTCTCAAAGATTAACACCAAACTGAAGAAGGATCGAAATATATACCTCAGAACGAAGTACTTAGCCTCTGAAATCCACAAAATATCGCCCTATTTAATTCCCTCTTGCCTTGGCCACCTTATCTTGCAAAAACACCCACACAAAGATCAAGAATGACCTCTTCTTCCTCACAAACGCTCTGGATCTCTTAGGGTTCCTCTCAGGGGTCTGGTAGTCGCAAATGGTGGCTATAAGCCCCTTTAAATAGGTCCCAAACCCCGGGGATTAGGGTTTCATTAAACAGCATGGACTCGCTGAGTCCACGAATAGACTCGCTGAGTCCACCATTAAATCAGTCCGACCAACCGCGATCCTACTTGGCGAGTTTGAGCGCCTACTCATCGAGTCTCTCTCCAAAAACTCAATATAAATGCATAAAATAAGATACATGGGAGTCCGGATGTTACAATTATCCCCTAGTAGAATCAGACTTCGTCCTCGAAGTCTCAT